CAAATCAGGAAAGGAATGTTCTAGGCAGGTAGACAGGACGAACAAATCAGGAAAGGAATGTTCTAGGCAGGTAGACAGGACGAACAAATCAGGAAAGGAATGTTCTAGGCAGGTAGACAGGACGAACAAATCAGGAAAGGAATGTTCTAGGCAGGTAGACAGGACGAACAAATCAGGAGAGGAATGTTCTAGGCAGGTAGACAGGACGAACAAATCAGGAAAGGAATGTTCTAGGCAGGTAGACAGGACGAACAAATCAGGAAAGGAATGTTCTAGGCAGGTAGACAGGACGAACAAATCAGGAAAGGAATGTTCTAGGCAGGTAGACAGGACGATAGCTCAACTAATGCCATTGATCCTGCACAGGGCACATGGTTTCCTCAAAACAGGTGAGCAGCCCTTTGTCCCTGTCCTGAGTCTTGTGTAAGGAGATCAAAGCAGGGCTGCATGACCATCTCAAGCCTCTGTCCTGGCGGAGGGTTAAGGCAGGCTTGGGGTGAAGACAGACAAAAGGACCAACTACCATGTGGTCTGCTTTTTTGGGGCATTTCCTAGCTCCATTGGAGAGGTTCTGCTCGGGGCCGATTGTGATGTGGGGAATTTTTCCTAAGGGCAGAGTAGCTGTGTGTGCGTGAGTTCATGCCTGAGTTTCCCAGCTCCATCCTGCCTGGAGGAGAACTGTCGCTTGGCCTCCACCTGCTCTTCTCATCTCTCTGATCTCTCTCCCTTTCTCCACGTGCCCTGACTGGACTAGAATCCCCTGCAGGTGTATTTCCCCCTTTCCACAGGCAGCTGTCACCTTTTGAGTTCTTCCTCCATGCCTCCATGGATGCCTTTCCTCCAAACGTGCTTTGCTACCTGAACACGTGCGTTTGGGAACCGGGGGTGGCCTTGAACTGCAGTGTCCCTTCCAGGCAGGTGTGCAGCGAGCACAGTTACCCTTCGTGCTCCCCTGGGTGTGTCTGTGCACACTTAGCCGTGCCACATTTCTTTCGTCTCCTGTGTCCCTCACTTGTCCTACCTCACCCTTCCCAGAAAGTCTGGAATGATAAGAAAAAGCTTTTGGTGTGCTAAGAATTTGGGAGGAAATTTGGCTGGTCACCCTGGCCTCATACCATAAAACTTACAGATTTGTTAATGTTCCTTTTTAGTCCTGTGATTCCCCCCAAAATAGTCCTCTTCCTTACTAATATTCTGAAAAGAATTGTTGACCTGTAATTCACATACCATTCATCTCACATAGCATGTGCACAATCAGTGAGTTTTAGTGTATTTACACAGGTGTGTAGTCATCGTTTCAATCACCTGCATCATCACCCCAAACAGTCATCCTGTCCCCGCTGGCCGTCCTCTCTGTGGTCTCTGGCCTTTGCCTGTCACTACTCCACTCTTTGTCTCTTTGGACTTGTCAACTTGGGACATTCCATGCAATGGACACATACATAACATTGCTCTTAATCTGTAAAGGGGTTTTGTCTACATGTGTGTCTGTGCACCACATGCATGCAGTGCCCATGGAGTCCAGAAGAAGGCCTCGGATTCCCTGGAACCACCGCATAGGTGCTGGAAGGAGCCATCTCTCCAGCCCACGTGGGGTCTTCTATGCCTAGCTTCTCTTAGCTTACTGTTTTTCCAGGTTTGCTCCTATGGTTGCATGTGTTACTTGCTTTCTCTCCTTTTTGTAATTATGTGTTTATCGCCTTTTGTTTACCTATTCATCTGGATGGACATTAGGTTATTTCCTTTTTTTTTTTTTTTTTTTTTTTTGCTATTATATAGAATGCTGACCTAAATATACATGTGTAACACATACTTTTATTTCTCTTAGGAATGTACGTAGCAGTAGAATTTCTGGGTTATGTGATTACTTTGTTTTAACTGTCTGAAAAACCAACTGTTTCCAAAACAAATACAGCTTCATTTTCCTTTTGGAAGCTTACACCCAGCTCCACTTCCTCCTGGTTCTCACCAACTCTTGTTACATCTTCTTAGAATGGCCACCCTAGCGGGTCTGTATGAGCATGCCCTGCCCTTTTGGAGGTCAGAGGACAGTTTGTGAGAGTTGGTTCTCTCCTTCCCTTGTGAGTCTTGGGTTGAACTCAGGTTTTCAGGCTTGATAGAAAGTGCCTTTACCCACTGAACTCTGTCTGTCTGTCCGTCCGTCCATCCATCTGTCATATCTATCTATTTTACTGAGACAGGGTCTCATTCTGTAGCCCTGGCTGGCCTCATACACACAAAGACCCACTTGCCTTTACCTCCCAAGTGCTGGGATTAACGCTTGCAATGTTATGCCCAACCTCTTCCCTTTGTTTTCTTGAGGCTGGATCTTACTCTATGTAGTAGTCCTAGTTGGCCTGAAATTAACTATGTAGACCAGGCTGGCATCACACTTGTAGCGATCCTCCCGCTTCTGCCTATCTTGGAGCATAGACATTTAAAATCTTTTTGGTAATGTTCATTGCTTATTTATTTAATCGTGAGCAAAAAAATAGGCAGAAATCAGCCGGGCGGTGGTGGCACACGCCTTTAATCCCAGCACTCGGGAGGCAGAGCCAGGCGGATCTCTGTGAGTTCGAGGCCAGCCTGGGCTACCAAGTGAGTCCCAGGAAAGGTGCAAAGCTACACAGAAAAACCCTGTCTCGAAAAACCAAAAAAAAAAAAAATTGGCAGAAATCATGAGAGACAGGCATAGCTTCCCAACTACCCCCATTTTAGTAGCAAGGAATGGCTTTCTTTCATCTTGATAGGGTCTTGCTATGAGCCTCAGCTGGTCTAGAACTTTGAGACGCTCTCTCTTTAGTCGCCTGAGTTCTGAGATTCTGGGTGTGTGCCTCTGTGCTCAGGCTGCAGTCACATTGATAAAAATAAAAATGATCCCAGGAAGTGAAGGAATAAGGAGCCTAGCTTAGGCTCACACACACTGACTGAATTAAGTGAGATACGTGGACATAACTCTCAAAGAATGTCCCCAGCACCATTGGCACTGTTTCAAGACATGGTACAGGCTCCTGAGATGGGAGCCCAGCTGTGGGGAGGGTGTACTTTGTCCCGTGTGTTGGAGTCCGTCCATGGCTGTGTAGTGGTCACTTTAAATTAATTTAACTTTGTGGAGGCAGGGAAGCACTCTGGGAGGTCAGAAGATGACTTGGGAATCAGTGCTCTGGTACCTTGTGGATCCTGGGATCAAACTCAGGCGTCGGGCTTGATGGCAAAAGCCTTTACTCCCTGTGCTCTGTCTCACCAGCCCAGCGGAGTGGTGTTGGGAAATATTATTTTAAGGTGTGTTACTTTTGTTTATGTTGCATTTGTTTAACTCCGTGAAGCTGTGTTACTGTGCCTGTCTAAAACACCTGATGGTCTAGTAAAGAACTGAATGGCCGATAGCAAGGCAGGAGAAAGGATAGGCAGGGCTAGCAGGCAGAGAGAATATATTGAAAGAGAAATCTGGGAGAAAGAGAAGAAGTAGCTGGAGAAGGAGGAAGATTCCAGGGGCCAGCCACCCAGCTACACAGCAAGCCACAGAGTAAGAGTAAGATTTATAGAAGTAAGAGAACGGGAAAAGTCCAGAGGAAAAACGTAGATGGGATAATTTAAGTTAAGGAAAGCTGGCAAGAAACAAGCCAAGCTAAGGCTGAGCATTCATAATTAAGAATAAGCTTCCAGCTGGGCGGTGGTGGCGCACGCCTTTAATCCCAGCACTCGGGAGGCAGAGGCCGGCGGATCTGTGTGAGTTCGAGGCCAGCCTGGGCTACCAAGTGAGTTCCAGGAAAGGCGCAAAGCTACACAGAGAAACCCTGTCTCGAAAAACCAAAAAAAAAAAAAAAAAAAAAAAAAAAGAATAAGCTTCCATGTGTGATTTATTTGGGAGCTGGGTGGCGGGCCCCCCAAAAGACCAAAGACCAATCAACAACACGTTATACTTTTCCCTTTTTAGATATTTTATTTTATGTGTATGAGCGTTTGTCCATATGTGCATATGTATGTGTACCATGTGTGCAGTACACAGAGGCCAGAAGGAGGTGTCAGAGTTAGGGATGACTGTGAGCCACCCTGTCAGTGCTGGGAACCAAACCCAGGTCCTCCGCAAGGGCAAGTGCTCTTACCTGCTGAGCCCCAGCTCCAGCTCGTGTTGTGGTGTCTTACCAGGCCTGAGAGTCATTGAGGTTTGGCCTTGAAATCATTTCAGATGAGCCCGCTCCTGCTTTGTACCATGCTCAGGGTGCTCACGTTAAAAACAGACCTGGGCCTTCCTAATCTTGGCTTTCTGGAGGTGCCTGCCAGGTGACTCCCAGGCTAGAGTGTTGAGTTGGGGAGAATCTTCTACTTACATGGAAAAACTCAGAGGTGGGAATGGGGGAGCCACCTGCCTTGTTAGGATTGTGATGGGCGCCTTCCAGAAACACACTCTCAAAACTGAAAGCAGCTTTTGCTGACATCTGGTCCTTTCTGGGACTCTGATATTTTTATTTATAAGATGACACTCATTTCCCCAAATAGAGTCTTATTTTTAACGGGCCTTTTCCCTTTGAGGGGAGCCTACGGCTCACAGCTTTGCTCTCTGATACCTGCTTCAACATGGCAGATATAAGGGCCCTGGCCTGTGTCAGGCGTGGTGGGGAGTGTGCAGACAGTCACTGCCATGTCTTTTCTTCCGGAGTTGGGTCTCTTCCTTACCTCTGCCGCTTCTCCATCTCTGTCCGGGAAGGGAAAACTTGCAGTTAGTGGCAGTTACCTAGTCTGCTGTGCTGCGAATCCCACAGAGGGAGAGCGGTGAGCTGGGAAGTCTGGCCACTGAGTCCGACTCAGCCCAGGACAGTCGTGATTGCAGCCCAACACAGAGCGCTAGGCTTACTTAAAACGAGGCCTTCTTGCCATTCCTGTCGACGATTGCGAAGTTCTCTGGTATGCATTTTGCAGATGACACTGTTGCGTCACGGTGTCAAAAGATGAGACACACCTGTGACCTAAGCCTTTCTTCCCTCCCTCCAATCCCTCAGCTGCCCAATATGTTCGGTGATCTTCGGTCGACGTTTATCGCCTTGATGATTGGGTCCTACGCCTCCTCAGCAGTTACCTTCCCAGGAATCAAGGTGAGGGTGTGGTCAGCCCGTGTGATCCTCTGCCCCTCCAGCTCATGCTTTCTCCCAGCGTCTGGGCAGAGGCCTCTGCCTAGGCCATTGCAGCCTCTTTGAGGAGAAATCATTATGGGCATTAGGGATGGCCCCTCTTCTGCCCCTCCCACCTGGGCAGGATGCACCTGGCACCACAGGAGTGAGAAAAGAAAACCGCGGGGCCCAGACGGGGAGGGCTTGAGTGGTGTGCTGTGGTGTGTGACCACAGGCTGGTTGGGGAAGGGACAGCAGGGTGAGCGAGCTGTCTCGGGAGTCTCCAGCCTGTTGACGTTACTCTCCATTAGCCAGAGCTCTGCTGTCCGCCAAGTTAGTTCAGCTGTTTCCCTCCCAGGCAGGATTCTGAGCCTGTGGAAGTCACATGGGACCAGGAAGAGCCTAGGCTCACAGTCTCCCCTGTTCGGTCTCTCTGTCGGGGTGTCACCAGGGTCTTTTCCCTCCCGAGGCACTGGCATCAAGGTGAAGCTGACTTTAGGGGGGTGGGGTGCTGTGAAGATGAAAGGGAGCCACAGATGTAGGCTGGGAGCCTGGGGTCCATGTGGTGGGTGGTAGGAACCGGGCCAGCCATCCTGTGAACTTTCTCTTGCTCCTGGATGGTGGAGGAAGCAGACACTCCCTGTCTTCTGTATATTCGTACATGCTGGCTCCATCCTAGGGAGCTGAGCAGCTCCATGCTAGGACACTTAGGGGACCCTCACACTGGGTCTGGGGAGAACCGAGGAGATCAAGACAGGCCTGGGGACACATACCTGTAATCATAACTACTAAGGAAGCTGAGGCAGGAGGAGATAGTAAGTTCAAGGCCTCCTTGGGCTACACATCAAGTTCAAGGGTAACCTGGGCAAGTTAGTAATTGTCTCACAGGTTTTTGTTTGGTTTTTTGGGGTCTTTTTTTGGTTTGTTTGTTTTATTGTTGTTTGTTTTTTTGAGTCAAGGTTTCTTTGTGTAGCCTTGGCAGTCCTGGAAATAGCTCTGTGGACCAAGCTGGCCTTGAACTCAAAAAGATCTGTCTGCCTCTACTTCCCAAGTGCTGAGATTAAAGGCGTGCGCTGCCGCCGCCGCCGCCACCACCACCACCACCACCACCACCACCGCTGCGTCTCACAGGTTTTTTTTTTTTTTTTTTTTTTTTTTGGTTTTTCGAGACAGGGTTTCTCTGTGTAGCTTTGCGCCTTTCCTGGATCTAGCTCTGTAGACCAGGCTGGCCTCGAACTCACAAAGATCCTCCTGGCTCTGCCTCCCGAGTGCTGGGATTAAAGGCGTGCGCCACCACCGCCCGGCGTCTCACAGTTTTTTAAGGGCCATGGGTAAAGCTTACTGGTAGACACTTGGCCAGCACACAGGAGGCCCTAAGTTCAGTTCCTAGTTAAAAAAAAAAAAGGCGACAATCAATGCTAAGATGCACAGCAGTCTGTCCTCTGCCAAGGATTACCACTTACCCTGGCCAAAGCGCCCTTCTGTGGAGTTGCCGAAGGAGCTGTGTTGGTCGGTCTCTTGAGTGTCTTGGAGCATCTACCGTTTGTATTCTTTTTTTTTTTTTGGTTTTTCGAGACAGGGTTTCCCTGTGTAGCTTTGCGCCTTTCCTGGAACTCACTTGGTAGCCCAGGCTGGCCTCGAACCCACAGAGATCCGCCTGGCTCTGCCTCCCGTGTGCTGGGATTAAAGGCGTGCGCCACCACCGCCCGGCCCGTTGGTATTCTTAAAGGCTAGAGAAACATCCCTGGATGAGGCTGCCAGGTTCCTGTCCTTGGGGAACTAGACAGACAGTCAGTGAGTCCAACAGCAGAATGACCAGGCTGCTTGTAATCCCACCACTCGGGAGGTAGAAACAGGAGGAGAAGAGTTCAAGACTCCATGGTGAGTTTGAGGCCAGCCAGGGCTACACAAGAACCTGTCCCGAAACAAAGAAGAAAAACCCTCAGAAGAAGCAGAACAGCCCTTAGCCAGCACTGTCACTGTGACCCTGTGAGACAGGCATGGCAGCCATAAAGTGGTCACCTCTTAAGATGGTGGCATTTGCAGCCAGGGCTGTTACACAGAGAAACCCTGTCTAGCGGGGAGAAAGATGGTGACATTTAGCTGCACACCTTTAATCCCAGCACTCCGGAGGCAGAGGCAGGCGGATCTCTGTGAGTTCAAGGCCAGCCTGGTCTACAGAGCAAGTTTTAGAACAACCAGGGCTGTACAGAGAAACCCTGTCTCCAAAAGCAAAAAAAAAAAAAAGAAAGATGACATTTGGTTCAAATTGGATTCCAGGGACAGAAAGGTTGGGATTATCAGAATACAGGGTTTCTGGCGGCCAAGCAGCTCAGCTCACGGGGTTGTGCCTTTTCATACAGCCCAGCACAAAAAGGGGCTCCCAGCTGTCCCTTGCCCATCCTGGTTTCCCACTGATAACCCTGCCCCCTCACCCAACAGCTCATCTACGACGCTGGTGCCTCCTTCATTGTCATCCTGGTGGTCTGGGCTGGCTGCTCCGGCCTGGTCTTCCTCAACTGTTTCTTCAACTGGCCGCTAGAGCCCTTCCCAGGACCAGAGGACATGGACTACTCGTAAGTGGGCGCGCTCTCTGCCTTGCCCTTGCGCCTGCTCGCCAGGGTCTCCGGGTGGCGGCACCAGCAGACCCCCTTCCTGTGGCCTCTAGGGTGAAGATCAAGTTCAGCTGGCTGGGCTTCGACCACAAGATCACAGGGAAGCAGTTCTACAAGCAGGTGACCACGGTGGGGCGCCGCCTGAGCGTGGGCAGCTCCATGAGGAGTGCCAAGGAACAGGCTGCGCTGCAGGAGGGCCACAAGCTGTGCCTGTCCACTGTCGACCTGGAGGTGAAGTGCCAGCCCGACGCCACAGGTACCCGATGCCCGGCTCTCGCCTTCCAGGTTGGCCCAAGAGACCTGTGAGAGGGGGGCATCCTCATTTACTGCCGGGGGGAGGGGGGAGCCCAGGGCCCCCTCGGTTGGGAATCATTGGCTGAGGCTCTCTGGGTGTCCTCTCGCAGAATTCCTGTTCTGTCTCGAAAGGGGCAGAGGCACCACCTGTCCTGTTTTACAGACACACGCCACTGAGCTTAGGGAATCTGCTGATGAGCATCAACACCGTGAACCTCACTATGAGGTTTATCATCCGCACCTCCAGCACAGCCTGCACATGGGGCCTTCTTCCCTGCCCCAGGCCCTGGATGGGCCACGTTTCCTGGCCTTGAGCCCCGTGTCTTCTTCCTACAGCTGCCCCCTCGTTCATGCACAGCGTGTTCAGCCCCATCTTGCTGCTCAGCCTGGTCACCATGTGCGTCACGCAGCTGCGGCTCATCTTCTACATGGGGGCCATGAACAGCATCCTTGAGTTCTTGGTCAGCGGTGACCAGAAGACAGGTGAGTGTCGCCTGGGCCTTGATGCACCCCCTCAGGGTATGGCAGTGCTAAGTGAAGCCCACCAGCCCCACCAACTGAAGGTACTCAGTTGAGCGAGGTCGGTGGAGCTGTGAAATGGCAGTGTCTAGGGCCCTCTTGGCTTGTCAGGGTTGTGTCATCAGACAGACCGACTCTCCTTTCATGTCCCCACCAGGGTTTCCAGGCTAAGGAGGAGGACTGAAATAGCTCATGTGTTTAGGGTGTGGGGTGTATGTTTCCAGTGCCAGTGGGGAGGGCTGAGGGCTGTGTCTGTACCAAAAACACTGCCCAGAGCAGAAGACAGCAGCCCAGCCCAGCCCAGTCACATCCCTGATCTGAAGGGACTGGCTTGGCGCTTGGACAACCTGGGGGCTAGGGAAGGACCTTTATCCTGGCAGAGGACTCTGGGTCAGGGGAGGCCCGTTCTAGGACCAGTGTCCTGCCCTGGGAACCAGGGAAAACAGAGGCTTCCCAGGGACGAGTAATCCAGTTGAGGCTTGTTCACTCTGGGAAACAGAACTGATAACCCACAGGAAAACAGCAGCAGGTCTTCAGCTGACGAGGGGCTTTGCTTCGCAGAGAAAGTCAGTACTTCCCCGGGGCCTGGCTGACTCAGCTTTAGTCATCCTGAGCAAGCAGGACAAACACACGGGGCAAATCCTCTCTGCTGACGGCCTCGCCAGCCTGCCGCTTTCTTCCGTTGGCTAACTTGTTTTTACCGAGGGAAAGATAACGCAGTCCTTGCAAGGAGCCAAATACCAGTTTTCCACAGGGACAGGAAGGCCTGCTTTCACAGAGAGAAAAGCTCCAGGCACCTACTGGCTCCCCAGCAGAGAGAGAAAGTGGAAAGACACTGACTATAACAAGCAGAAATCATGATGGGGCACAGTAGTGGCCTCAGGGTCCTTACAGGAGAAAAAGACCTTTAGCTTTGTTCAGTCCAGTGGTAATTTCCGGACTCTATACCCCTGGAATCTTTCTGGTTGGTTGGTTTGTTTTAAGATGTGGGGTCTTGAACTGGAAATGTGGCTCGCTTGCTGGTGCTTTCTTAGCATGAATGAAGCCCAGGGTCCATTCTAGCACCACATAAATGATATGGTGGTGAATGCCTATAACCCCAGCGCTCCAAAGGTAGAAGCATGAAGATCAGACATTCAGAGTCATCCGAGGTCACGTAGCAAATTGGAGGCCTGCCTGGGTTAAAGAGAGTATACCTGGGTGGGTCTTGCTTGCTGCTTTGCCTAGACTCTCAAGCCACCCAACTACTTCAGCCTCTGTACCTGTGACTGCCACATAGTGGACCACCCTATGTGGTAAAACATTTTTGTTTTTCTGAGATGTGGTAGCCTAGGCTGGCATGGAACTTGCTTAGTAAACCAGGTTGGTCTCACTGTATAGGGATTCTCCTGTCTCAGCCAAGTATTGGAATTACCATCACACCAGCTTAATCTTTGGTATTTCACTTAAATAAAAGTCTTTGGCTGGGACCAGATTAGCAGGTAAAGACTCTGGTTGCACTTGTGGATCTCAAAGCACAACTTTGAGGAGCACCCACTGCTCCCCCCTCCCCCCGGTGGATTTCAGAGACAACTCGGGTGTGAGGCTTGTGTGACAAGCACCTTAGCTGTTAAGACATTTCACTGGCCCTAATTTTCTTCTTTTTGATTTTGCTAGATATGGTGGCACAGTCCTTTAATCCCAGCATTTAGGAGATGAAGGCAGGTCAATCTCAGTGAGTTCAAGGTCAGCTCACTAGCCCAATATACACAGTGAGTTCCAGACTAGCCAGATCTCCACAGTGAGACCTTGACTTCAAAAAAAAAAAAAGGTCAATTTTAAGGTAGACATCCAATGCCAGGTGGTGGCCGCCCACACTTTTAATCCTTGAACTCGGGAGACAGAGGCAGGTGAATCTCTGAGTTCGAGGCCAGCCTGGTCTACAGAGTGAGTTCTAAGACAGCCGAGGCTACACAAACTGTGTTAGAAAAACAAACAAAAGATGGACATCCTGATTCACTCCTGTAATCTCAGGTACTAGGCAGGCTGAGGCAGGAAGATTATGATTTTGAGGTCAGTTTGGCTGTACAATGAGACTTTTTAAAAAAACAGAAACAGGGCTGGCGAGATGGCTCAGCGGTTAAAAGCACTGGCTGTTCTTCCAGAGGTCCTGAGTTCAATTCCCAGCTACCACATGGTGGCTCACAACCATCTGTAATGAGATCTGGCGCCCTCTTCTGGCCTGCAGGCATACATGCATGCAGAACATTGTATACATATAAATAAATAAATCCTTAAAAAAATTTAAAAACAAACAAACAAACAAAAAAAAAACAGAAACAGCTTCCAGAAGCAGAGGGAATTGGGAGAGGAAGTGGAGAGGCTAGCAGACAGGAGCTCTGTTTCCCCCCAGTCTCTGGCAGCCAGCATGCACAGGCCTGGCTCTGCTCGGAAGGGCTGCCCTAGGGTCAGGGAGCCAGTGAGGGGAGAAGCCTGGCTGTCTAGGGAGAAGTGTGGTGTCAGATGACTGTGCAGCTGGCAGGGCTCCTTTGACCTTTCCTTCTCTCTGAGTGCAGCAGGAGGTAACAGTGACAGAGCGGCGTTCCCACAGCACCACATGGTAGAGCTGATTCTGCCAGACCTTCTGTCTTCAGCACGCCACTTCCCCGTCAGGGTGCCTAGCCAGGGCTACAGGCCTGACTCACCAGCCTGCCAGTGATGAGTAACCAGCAGCCAGGAGGATGTCAGCTGGGCTGGGCTCTCTCAATCCATCTCTGGAGCTGGAGTGGGCAAGGCCTTCACTGGGTGCTCTAGGGGGTCTCCTGGGAAGGGGAGTGTGCACTGCCGCGCCTTGGTCTAGCCTGGTCTAGCCCATCTCCTGTCTTTTTGTGCTTGTACCACTGACCTCTCCTTTCTGTTTTTCTACCATTGCTTTCTCGATGAAGTGATGGCGACCGGTAAGCAAGGAGACTGTTTCGGGGAACCTTGCGATACCCCTTGCAGCTCCTCTCTGATCAGCCCAGGGGCGTCCATTTTCAAATTCCAAACGTCCCTCTTGACTAAACTGGCGGGGTGAGGATGGAACATTTAGTGGTCAACTATTTTTTCGTCCCCCACCCCCGACAATTTTAAGTCTCTTTGAAGATGGGAAGCCCTGCCGTCAGAGTCCCTGAGAACGGTGCCTTCCTGGTCCATTTCTGGAGACAGAAAATGGTGGTCGGTCACATATAAAGCCCGGTCATGGGCACTGATGATTTTGTGGTTTCCAAGTTAGAATGACTTCCTGAAATTGTGGTGTGGGGGAGGGGGTTGTCGTTGTGACATACTGGGTTTCATTAGCTGTTACAGGGAAATGGGCCTTTGTTCTAGCTTTGATTTCAGAAGGTCTGTAGATTCCCTCAGCCCACTGTGACCAGGGGGCTCCAAGTCAGACCTCTGAGAGCCTGCAGATGCCACTCAAGCTGTTCCTCGGGGATGTGGGAGCTCCCATGACATGCCCTCTTCCTTCCCAGTTGCCCTCTACACCTCCATCTTTGGCGCGCTCCAGCTGCTCTGTCTGCTGACAGCCCCTGTCATCGGCTACATCATGGACTGGAGGCTCAAAGAGTGTGAAGATACTTCCGAGGAGCCCGAGGAGAAAGACAGCACTCAGTACGTAGGCACCACAGCCCACAGAAAGACAACCGGGTCATACTGCGTGTTAGGACAGGAGGGGCGAGAGGTGCGCTCAGGACCCTGGCGAGCCCAGCACCCACTGTCCCCACCTCCATGGAAACTCTCTGACGTGATGAAGTGTGGGAGCTACTGAGGTAGACGAAAGGAGAGGGGAACCCAGGACCCCAGCTTGGCACAAGCCGCACAAGGAACCATTCTGAAGTCCCTTGCTGCTGGGGTTCACTCTACTTACTTGCATTGTAAGCTGTTCCAAACAAGTGTGCTAATGATGTGTTGATTCTAAAGATTAACCAAGGCTCTGGAGGCCTGCTTTATGGAAGGGCTGGGCTCTAAGATCAGAGGGTGAGTTAAGTGCTCTCTTCTACAACTCCCAGCATGTGATAGGCTGTTATTTATTGTATCAGGCCCAATGCCAAGCACTTAACACACAATGGCTCACTTCAGCTTCAGTACCATGATGCAACATGTGTTAGTGTTGTACCCATTTTACAGATGAAGAGGGCAAGGGCTCGGTGCTCAAGTCTTCTTACAGAGGTGGTATAGTTAGAAAGTGGTAGGCCTGGGAATTGCTGCCCTCCTCTGAACATTTGCCGTTCATTCTTGTGATCATCCATGGGGGTTTCAGTGTGGGTGGCATGGCTGGAATCGGTAAGAGTTAATCCACAGGGAAATAATTACAGAGGCTGTTATCTAGGTTAGGCCCTCGAGCCAGAAGGCTATCTGCCACCCTGGTTCCATCTGCTGTGTACTTATTTCCCTCACCCCATCCTGCCCCCCAAGGGGAAACCAACTCGCTCCCTCATTTGGCTTATTATCTGGCCTGTTACCAGCTTCCTGCAAGATACAGGTGCAGCGAGGCTTGGCTGCACCCTCGCTGCGGCACACTCTGCTCCTCCCCCTCCCTGCCATCAGCTGAGCTCACTGAGCAGGGTTGCGGGGTGACGTCTTCTGGGCTGTGAGAGCCTCCACTGAATCAGCCCGTGCTCAGCTGAGAGGGTGAGAGGGCTACATCATGGACTGGAGAGTGTCCCCAGTGCCGGTCTAAGGTGTGGTCGCGTGGCCCATGGAACGTGCATCGGTCCACATCCTGGGATCCCTGAGATCTGGCTTTTGGGGGGGCCATCTTCCCCCAGGGAGCCTCACCCCCACCCCAAGTCCCGTGTGCTCTTTCTCCACAGAGGTGAGAAGAAGCAGAAACGAGACAGGCAGGTCCAGAAAGTCACAAATGCCATGCGGGCCTTTGCCTTTACGAATGTGCTGCTCGTGGGCTTTGGGGTGACCTGCCTCATTCCTAATCTGCCTCTACAGGTAGGTCTGGAGAGAGACCATGTAGGGGATGGGACACAGATGAGGGATGTGTAGAGGCTAAAACGTGCATGTGACTTCATTCATTCAGTTCGGCCAGCTGCCAGTATTTGCTGGAGGTCGGCTTGGCCTCCTCCACTCCCCAACTCTGGGCTGAAGAGGAGGGTGAGCCGCGAAGACCAGTTTCCTTTCGTAGGACTCTTCTCCAGGAAGGCACGTTGTTCTTCTCTGTCCTTGGGTGCCTTGCACGCCATGGGCACCACCACCGTCTGTTTCCTGGAACTGTGCGGTTTTGCATTTTCTCAGACGCTGGAAATCTGATAGCTCAAGAGATTTGGCCAAGGCTGAGTGTGGTGGCACACGCTTGTAATCCCAGCCTTCTTAGAAGCAGAGACAACAGTGTCCACATGACTGTTATCCTAGAGAGAACACAGAATGACCCGGGTCCTGGCTGAGTGTCAAGGGTCAAAGGCTTACTTCCTTTGTACAAGATTTCTTTTTCTGGCAGGGTTTTTTTGTTTTTGTTTTTGTTTTTGAGATGGGGTTTCTCTGTGTAGCTTTGGAGCCTGTCCTGTATCTTTCTCAGTAGTCCAGGCTGGCCTTGAACTCACAGAGATCCGCCTGGCTCAGCCTCCCGAGTGCTGGGATTAAAGGTGTGCACCACCACCACCTGGCTGTACAAAATTTCTTGTGTCTTTTGAGACAGAGTCTTTCTGTGTAGCCCAGGCTGGCCTCAGACTTGATTCTCCTACCTTGGCCCTTCAAGTGCTGGGATTATAAGAACACACCATCGTGTTCGCCTTGCACAAGACTTCTGAGTTCTGAAGCCTAACTTGCTAGAGTTTGTAAGCCAAGTAGACTTTGCACCTGCCTAGCCCCACCCTTTGGTCTGTGAAGACGTTTCTACCTGTCCATTGGGGCCCAAGTTTACAAGGTGAAGGGGGGATGCACCTGATAACATTGCTTCCCAGTGGGTGTAACCCAAGTGCAGATATGTCTCACGCCAGCTCCTGGAGGGAATAAAGAGGCTCTTTGTTTACAAGATGCCAGGTGTTGAGCTATGGTGTGCACACCCACAAGTACTGTCACACATACATGCTGGCACTGGGTGTGCAGACCAGAGTAAGCCCTGGGAGACTCGCACCCAGTTTGGGGGGGGGGGTGGGGGGCGGCGCCGCGGCGCACTGACAGATCCCTGTCACGATCATCTTGTCCAGTTGAGGGACGATGCTCAGTTGCAGGCAGTTGTCCACTTTTTGTTTAGTTCAGTTCTCATTGAAGGCCAGTTGTGTAAAGGCAGCAATGCATGCCAAGGAAGAGACAGGGCTGTGTAAATCCGCATCTGCATGACCTTTCGAGCCTGCCAGGAGTAGCCCTGGCCCCTCCATCCCCAGTCCCAGCAGCAGGTCCTAGCTGCACAATGGCACGGATGTGTCCTAATGAAACAAAGGACCGACACAGGGCTGGCTCTATGGTGGCAGGCTAGTGCCTCTCAGGGATCATTAACTAACAAGGCCTTCTCAGAGGTTGCTACAGGAAGAGGCCTTTCAAAACCTGTGACAGAGATTTACGAGGCAGAGAAAGACAGCCACTTGCCAGTAGGACCTGTATCACCAGGCAGGGAGACCTCTGGGAAAATCCTCAAATATAGATTCTTAGGGTTGGGTAAGGGGATCTTAAGCCATCATGCATGCTCTCACCATGGCTGATAATATACAATATATGGAAGATACCTTCAAAACAAATAGTAGTCATTCTGGTGAAAGAATTAGCAATTGATAAACTCTGATCATTCATTGCCTTTGTTTTTTGTTCTTGTTTTGTTTTGAGACAAGGTTTCTCTGTGTAGTTTTGGTGCCTGTCCTGGAACTCACTCTGTAGACCAGGCTGGCCTCGAACTCACAAAGATCCGCCTGGCTCTGCCTCCCGAGTGCTAGGATTAAAGGCGTGCGCCACCACCGGCCAGTCGTCTTTGTTTTAAGACAGTCAATTTAGTTTCTTATTTTTATATTATGTATTGGTTTTTTGAGACAGGGTTTCTCTGTGTAATAATAGCCTTGGCAGTCCTGGAACTCTTTTTGTAGACCAGGCTAGCCTCAAACTCAAAGATCTGCCTGCCTGTGCCTCCTGAGTGCTGGGATCAAAGGTGTGCGCCACCATGTCTGGCTAGTTTCTTTTCATTTTTTTTTTTTTTTGAAATTTAAAAAAAATGTAATGATTATTGTGTTTTGCTTGCATGTATGTCTGTGTGAGGATGTCGGATCCTCTGGAACTGAAGTTACAGACAGATATGAACTGCCATGTGGGTGCTGGGAATTGAACCCAGGTCCTCTGGAAGAGCAGCCAGTGCTCTTAGCTGCTGAGCCATCTCTTCAGCCCCCCCCCCCCAGCCAGTTTCTTAGTTGTCAGTTTATATAATTTAAAAGGGTCATCAAGGTGGCTTAGTTGTGAAAGACTTTGGCTGCCAAGCCTGAGGGTTTTGACCCTGGGACCCACATGGCAGGAGAGAATCCGCCCCTGAAAGCTGCCCTCTGACCTCCACACACGCACCGTGACACTTGCGCACCGAAAATAAAAAGATGTCATTTTTTAAAGAGAAAAGTTTAACATTTTTGTGTGTGTGTGTCTGGGCGTTTTGCCTACATGTGTAAGTCTGTGTACCAAGTACAGCGCCTGCTGCCTACAGTGGCCAGAAGGCATCAGGTCCCCTGGAACTAGAGTTGCAGACAGTTGTGAGCCACCATGTAGGCATTGGGAATTGAACCAGGTCCTCTGGAAGAGCAGGCAGTGTTCTCGACTGCTGAACCGTCTCTCTAGTAATATTTTTTTTTTTAATTACAAAAATGAGGAGCTGGAGAGATGGTTCAGTGGTTAGAGCGCTGGTTGCTCTTGTACGGGGCCTGGGTTTGGTTCCCAGCACCCACATGGTGTGTGTGTGTGTGTGTGCACAGGCCTATGGTTATCAGACTGTGACTAATTTTTTTTTAATGTTAGTTTTATCAAGGGCCAGGCATTGTGGTGGTGCATGACTTTAATCCCACCACGGTGGAGGCAGTGGCAAGCATATCTTTGTTAGTTCCAGACCAGCCTGGTTTACATGGAGAGTCCTAGGCCAGCCAGGGATACACAGTGAGACCTCATCTCAAAAACCAACACCCGCCCCCCCCAAAAAAGCACCCTGCACTGGAGAGCTGGTAGCAGCCAACTCCAGGTGGCGCTAGTTCCTGTGCCTAAGTCCCCGGGAGCCAGGGGGAAAAAGGACAGGGGGGGTCCTGAGGGTCTCCTGCTCACGCTCTTCCTGCTTCCCTCCCTCAGATCTTCTCCTTCGTCCTGCACACAATTGTGCGAGGATTCATCCACTCTGCAGTAGGGGGCCTGTATGCTGCTGTGTAAGTCCTGGAAGCTCTGGGTGGTGTGGTGGCCCTGACCCGAGGGAACTGCTGGTGGCGTGGAGACCCTGAAGCTGGCCTGTCCTACCCTTCTGGCATGTTTCATCTTGTATCAGGGACAAGTACTAGGGTTTCTGCTGTCTGTGTCAGTAAAGGCCACCATACGTACTGGCAGCAGGTGAGTCCGTAGGCAGACAGTCGGGTGCCCACAAGCCATGGCATTTAACACGAAGTCAGTCTCTCAGCTGGGGTCAGTGCCTTAGGGCCTCGGGGTTGCTGGTCAGCCAAGTCCTGGCATTGTCCCTGGCTGCTCACCGGGACAGGGTTGGGTTCTAGCTGCCGGAAGCTAAATACTGAAGTGTAAATAGTCCTCAGTAGGGGCAGTGACATGGATAACTGGTCCCAGAAGCACTGGGCTGTCCTCACCCAGGGCTTCAAAGGGCCCATTTGCCGGCCACAATCTCCTTGAACCCTGCCTGCAGTGACATCTACATCTTTTCCAAGAAGCCACACAGCTGTTCCTCCTTTTGCCCAGGGCTTGGCCCACAAATTGACACCCAAGTCCTATCATCCACTGAATGCCGCTCGTACTTGCCCAGGGCTGCCTCATACCTCGGGGGGCAGCAGAGCCTTGTGTTCCCCGAGATTAAGCCCAGGACTCCTCCCTCCCTTGAGCAACATCTTACAGGGATTATTCCAGGTCCGCCTGTCCCTCGCCTTATCCCCCTGCCCCAGGCTTGGAGGAAGTTGTGGCTGCCCTGGCAGGGTGTGAGGGAGTCGGGCAAGAGCTGTGATGCTGGGTTTCCGTGATTGTGCAATGCCTTTGGAGGGGGGTACAGCAGAGCCAGGCTCAGCCTCCGACCTGCTTCCTGGGAATGGTTCCCAAGCCTCAAACTCCGCTGGCACCATGCTTTCCACTCCGCTCAGCCTACACCCCCAGGCTGAGGGCACGTCTGAGTATGGGAGAGGCTTTTCTCCAGAGTCTGAAGCTTCGGCAGGCCGGCACCCAGCCATCCTGAGGCTGGTCCTGCCTCTTCCCACAGGCACCGATGGTGCAGCCCCGGTTACCAGCATACCCGAGCCAGGCCAGTGAGGGATTTGGGAAGCCTGTGAATGGCACTGGCTGTGACTGGTCTCATTGCCCCAACAGGTACCCCTCCACACAGTTTGGTAGCCTCACAGGACTCCAGTCTCTGGTCAGCGCGCTCTTTGCTCTCCTGCAGCAGCCGCTGTTTCTGGCCATGATGGGTCCTCTCGGAGGAGACCCTCTGTGGGTAAGAAGAGTCGGGGTGTCTCTCCATTCAGCTCCTGGGAAAGGGGAGGCCCAAGGATAAGAGGTAGTTTGGGAGCTTTGGACAGAATCCAGTCCAAAGGGGCCCCTTGTGGGGACAGTGGCCAGGCAGGAGAAAAATGGCCTCTCTAGACCTGATTCTGGGGTGGATCCCAGGCTTTCCCTGCAAAGACCAGCATTCTAGTGCAGATATTGTGAGTCGTCCCAAGCCCGGCCCAGTCTCTGAAGGCTGCCGAGTGGCCTGTGGTGGGGAACGGGGAATTTAGATGCTGCTGGAATGTGGGCTGACGCCCCGGGACCTCTGGAACCTTCCTGTTTATTTTAAACTCTTTTCTCACCTGTGCGTGTGGGAGGGCGCTGCCCCGTGGTGAAGACAGCTCCTTATGCCAGCCCCCTTCCCGCCCTCCCAGGTGAACGTGGGTCTGCTCGTCATGAGCATGCTAGGCTTCTGCCTGCCACTTTACCTGATCTGCTACCGGCGCCAGCTGGAGAGGCAGCTTCAGCAGCGGAGGGAGGACAGCAAACTGTACCTGAAGGTCAATGGCTCGTCCAACCGGGAGGCGTTCGTCTAGTGCCCACCCACCTCTGAGCTGCGGCCTCCTGCCTGTGCTTCAGTGACTGACCGCTGCCATCTCCCCGCCCCAGAGGATCCTGTGTGCTCCCTGGATCCTGCCCTTCACCGCACTGGAGCCCGTACTTCCTCAGCAAGCCTTGGCCCTGCCAGTGGAGCGCTGATGTGGAGGGACAGGACAGGGTCCAAGACAGATGAGCCTCCCACTGCCAGACACGAGGCTGGCCTGGCCTAGCGGTCACCCCAGGGACTCTGGGGTCTTGGATCTCCATGGGGCCTGTACCTGGAGCCAAGGGGAGCCCCTAGCAAGCAGGCTCTCCCTCACTGATCTGGAGTCTGCCTCTTGCCAAAGCAGAGGGGTCTGCCATCCTCTCCCCACACTACCTGTCCCTGCGCTGCATGCCCACCGACCACGCCTACCTGAGGACAAAGGCCGCACCGTCTGCACTCCCTCTCCTGGCCCCTTACCTCCCTAGGCCGGTCTGTGGCTGCCTGAGGAAGGAAGGACCCGCTTCCTGTTGTTGGTGCTAACCCTTTGTAATCCCAATGCTCCCCCCGCGCCCCCCATGACTAGTCCCTGGCCTGCCCTTTCCTTGAAGGCCTGTGGAGAAGCCCCTCTGCCGCAGACTGGGGGGAGGGATGGAGGACAGAACAGTTACACAAAGCCTCAGGAGCCATGGGCAAGGCTTGTTCCTCAGAGTGGGGGAAGTACATCTCCACTGCCACCCTTGTTCCCGCCTGCATCCTGAAGGGAACCGAGGGGACATCACAAAGGCACCCTTCCACCCACACACAGCTGTTTTCTGGGGTGGAAATAAGGCCGAGGCTGAGGGGCATGGAGAGTCAGTCAGGCCTAAGTGGGGAAGAGGGCTGGCGGGTAATCAGGGGTGTGTGTGTGTGTTTGTGTGTGTATACATGTTCACATATGCTAGGAGGGGAGCCCCAGGGCCTGCTTTTGCGAGAAAGGACCAGACCAGAAGCCAGCCAGGCCTGAGGCAGATTCAAGATGGGAGAGTCTGCCTTGCTTCATGATGGGGACCTTGTGTGTAGCCGTGTGGTCACACTGCCCCCTGCTGGCAGACTCTTACCAGGGCACAGGAGCTGTTTGTGGGAGGAGCCGAGCTGGCCTGCCTGGCTCAATAACCCACTTACGTTGACAGCCCCTAGAGATCCTGTCTGAGACCTCTTGGGGTGACAAGAGGGGTGGATTAGTTTTTAAGGCTATGGTTTTCTCTTAAGTTTTATCAGGATTCTTTTTATGAAGCAATAAATCCATTTTCCTGTTGGTAATGGATGACCCTCACATCAGTTGACCGCTTTATGTGCCTGTTGTAAGATTGAGAGGGAAAAGGCAGGACAAGAGAGTCCTCCAGGAAGAAAAAGGCCAGATGTATTGGCACGTGCTTTAATCCCAGCACTTGGAAGGCTGAAGCCGCCAGAGAGTTTGAGGCCAGCCTGGTCTATGGAGAGTTCCAGGGCTACACAGTGAGACTGTAGATGGTCTGCTAATGATAAGCCCCGTTGCACCCGGGTGCTCTGTCCTGAGTGACATGTCCAGGGAGATGGGACTGTGGAGAAGTGTGGGCTGTCCCTCTGCTCTCAGTTCCAACTAGACAGGCTGACCCGGAAGCCTTCACCTCTACTGTTTCCTGTCAACTCATAACCCCAGGGGTTGTTATGTGGTGACCAGGAGAACCATAGGCTGAATAACTTTAGTTAGGATGGGGTGAGGGCGGACACCGGCCAAGGGGCCCCCAGGCCAAGCCCAGGCTCTGTGCTAATAGCGAACTGAAATCTTAGCTCCAATCTGTTCAAATGATACCCCCACGACAATGAGCTGTTGGAAGCCCTTCGCTGTGGCTTCCCATGGTTCAATGGTAGAGCTCACTCTTAGCATGGACAAGGCCTTAGGCTCTGTTTCCCAAAAGAACTGAGTTGGCATTTTCCAGAAACACTATCAGAGCGCTGGTCAGGTGTTGAGTATTCAGGTTTAGGGAACCCAACAGCTCTTCCCCCCATGTTTGTGAACATTGCAGCTGTCTGAGAAGGGATATAGCGCCAGATGTGGTGGCAAGAGGATCCTCTGTAAGTTTGAGGCTAGGCTGGTCTACGTGAGTTTCAGGCTGGTCAGGGCTACACAATGAAACCGTGTCCTTAAATTTTTTTTTTTTTTTAAGAAAACCCACTAGGCCGGGCGGTGGTGGTGCACGCCTTTAATCCCAGCACTCGGGAGGCAGAGGCAGGAGGATCTCTGTGAGTTCGAGGCCAGGCCAGAGAGTTTGAGGCCAGCCTGGGTCTACAAAGTGAGTTCCAGGAAAGGCGCAAAACTACAGAGAAACCCTGTCTGGAAAAACCAAAAAAAAAAGAAAAGAAAGAAAACCCACTAGGGTTTACAAGGATGTGAGGAAAATTGTAAGTTTTATGCCTTGCTGTGGGAATGGTAGAGCTGTGGAAATACAGCCCAAGCCGGTAATGCCAGCATTGGTAGGAAAGGCCAGACTGTTTCAGCCTGAACTGGAACCGTGCTTCACACACAAGATTGTGACAAGCGGCTGAGTGGTGGGTGACTGATCACAGGAGCCATGCTCTTCCTGCGTGTGCTACGAAGTGGCTACTTGCAGAGGTTCTGCGGTGTTAAGATTGTAGACTCCGGGGCAGGGTGAGGATATAGGTCAGTTGGTAGCATGTTTGCCTAGCTTACACAAAGCCCTGAGTTTGATGCTCAAATAAAACTGGGCATGGTGGCACATGCCTGTTGTCCCAGCACTTGAGTGGTGGCGACATCAGGGTCAAGTGTTGAAGTCATCTTTGGTCACATAGTAAGTTTGAAGCCAACCTGGGTTTCAGGAGATCCATCTTTTAAAAAACAAAAGACTGTCGGCTGTGGGTCTCGCCTGTTTCTTGGTTTGATTCTGGTGCCTTCCAGAAGTTCAGATGCAGAAGGGAAGAGGAAAGTAGCTTGAGGATTGCTGACTGACAAAGCCGCTCCCTGCTAGGGACATACTGAGGTTGGTTAGACATGACATGAGCTGTCTGTCCCCAGCCACACTGAGGGGCCACACCTTTTGACCATGACAAGTTACAGGAATATCCTAGGATTGAGAAACTAGACATTCAGATGGAAAAGAGCCCAGAGCCAACATTGTTTGAGGCGTCAGGCAGCAGCAGGGAACGGTGTGTGGCAAGCCAGATGAGTCGGGAACTCCCTAGTCAAGGGCCAGTCTGCCCTGACTTGGCACAAAGTCGACGTGTTTTCCTAGTGTCTTTGGATCACAGTAGCAGCCTGGAATGGCGTAAATGCTTGGAGAAACAGTCCCAGAGAGGGAGAGTAACTTGCTCACAGTGAGAACAAGGACTCTCATGTGGCTCTCAGTCACTAAAGCAGCCAAGGCCGCCTAGGCCAGACCGTCCCATTGGACGCAACAGTCCAAGGGGTGCCAGCCTTTCAATAGAGCAGCAAAGCCCAGAGAAGGGGTGTGAGCTCAGGATGGCAAAGCTTTCTCAGGTACGGGGCAAGCTATGTGCACAAGGATCATTTGAGCCATGGAGGCCGATAGGTACTTGGAAGAATAATTCCCTGATGACTTCAACCTCAAGAGAGGTACCGTGAGATAGGGACAGAAGCACAGGCTAGACACAGACAGAGGCCCCAGTGGCCCCAGCCTTTTCGTCTTTCCCCTAGTTTTGTGAGCTCTGGAGGTGGAAGGAACAGGAAGTGATGCCCGGCCTGTGGTTTCACTTGGTGAGGACAGGCAGAGTCAAGCTCGCTTGCACCTCTGGAAGCCCTTCCTTTGTGGTCTAGGCACTCATGAAGAACTGCTTCCCCTGGGCCTCTGCCCTCATCACACTCTGCCTTTTCACAGCTGGCTCCAACCGTTAAGGTCAAAGACAGAAAGAACACAAGCCTTTGGGGGCTACTTTCTGAGTCCCTATGCCCACATCCAGAAGTTCTGGTCAAAACTTGTACATAGCCAGGCGATGGTGGCACACACTTTTAATCCCAGCACTCGTGAGGCAGAGGCAGGCAGATCTCTGAGTTTGAGGCCAGCCTGGTCTACAAAGCGAGTTCCAGGACAGCTAGGGCTACACAGAGAAGCCCTGTCTCGAAAAAACAAAAACAAACAAACAAAAAAAACATTTGTTTGTAAAGTCTTATCATGGTCTTTTGACAGCCTGGGCAGTCAAAAGGACTGTACTAGGCCCCGTGGACACTGGGTGGAGGGACACATACCCAGTATTGCAGTCATATGGACAGAACTGTCCCAGACAGTAGCACAAACACATTCAGCTAAGTAGAGGAAGGGGAATTTTCTTGTTTTGCTTTGAGGCAGAATCCCACTTGTCTCTCAATTGTCTTTGACCTGGCCATCCTCCTGCCTCAGCTTCCTGAGTGCTTGGGATGCCCTGCTCAGTGGGATCTGTTGTACTTTCCTGTCAGCCTGTGTGAACCTAGGCAGATACACCATCTGGAGTGACTGGTGATGGGTGGGGACAAGCTTATGACAGCCTGTGGTGAGGGTGTCCTGCTCAGAGCTCTGTAGTGTCTCCACAGAGCCAGGCTTCAGGGTCCACTACAGCCTCGGCGCTGTTCCCAATGAAGGGCACTAAGCTAGGTTCCCATGGGCTTTGGAGGCAGTGAGGTTCCTTGGCTGTGTAAGTGACCAGGGCCCAACCTAAGTGTATTGGCTACTTCCCTCACACACAGACTGTGGCGGCCTGTGAGGATAAGAGCACCTGAGTGGTTCAGGGGAGCTTGCTTATCTTGGGGCTGTAGCCCTTCCCTGAGTTAAGGGTCAAGGTGAGACTGTATCCTCATGGCTCTAACTCACCTGAGCCCTAGGGTGTGAGCCTCCTGAGTGTTCAGGAGAGTCCATGTCCTCTGGGAAGGCATCAGGAAGGCATCGTGGCCCTGCCCCCACAGACACCATCTGTACCCCTTGGTCCCTGCAGTGAGTCATTCTTACATGGACAGCTCCAAGATGGGACCTTGGGTCTCTTCCTAACCTTGACTGTCCTCTGAGGGAAGCACAGAGGTTAGCAGCCACACAACATTTTCCGGGAAAGCTTGAGTGTCATTTCCTACAATGAAATGGAGGCATCCATGCCCTCACGGTGTGGCTAAGGGGACCTGTAACTAAATCACATGAACACAGTGTGTGTAGTAGCATGAGGCAGAAACTTAACCATTGTGGCCCTGGAGAAAGGCAGACAGTACAGGGAATGAGGCGCCCCCTCCTTGATATGACAGGCCGCTGACAAGGTGACTGGCCCCGGTCCCCTCCCCTCAGAACTCCTACAGTGGAGCCTTAAGTTCTCCCCAGCCCACTCTTCCATTTTTGTCTTTCACACCTTGGTAAGAGGCTTGGCCAAAGAGTCTTGAGGTCTAAAGTCCCAGCCCTGGGGTCGCCCTTCTATACTACCTTTTAAAATGACTGCTTGGCTGGGCCTGTGTGTGTGTGTGTGTGTGTGTGTGTGTGTGTGTGTGTGTGTGTGTGTGTGTGTTCTGGGATGTGTGTGTTGAGGCAGATGTGTAGGGGTGCCTGTGTGCTGTAACACCTGCGTGTGTGTATGTAGGTGTGTGTTCTGAGATGTTCTGGTGTGTCTGTGTTGAGACATGCATGGGGTGCCTGTGTGTTGTAACACCTGGAGGCAGGAAGGAAAGGCCCATTGCATCCCTTTCTGTGTTACTAGGAGCATCTAGGCAGGTCAGAATGCAGGCCATGTCAAAGGCCAGCCCAAGCCTTCGAGCGAGGCCTGAAGGTGTGCTCTTCTTATGTTCACTAGGGTCACATAGTGTCACTGATGACTCATCAGCTGACCTTGGCTCTTCCCTGTCACTTTACTGTTCCTAGCCCCCAACATACTCCTTGGCACACAGTGAGCACTTAATAAATGTATGCTGTGAATGGCTGAGAATGCCTGTGGCTCCATGTCTCTTTCTGCCGGGATCACACCAAGCTTGCTCAGACTCCCTGCCCATAGTATGAAGCATGGTTCTCGCTGCAGCCTGTGAGGGAGGGGCCCTGAAGCCCAGCAGAGGGGGCAGTCAGAGGGATGGGACCTCTCAGGAAGTGATGCAGGGCTGAGATGTTAGGAGATGAGGTGAAGCCTGCAAATGTCGAAGGTGGGTTCTGCCCCTGCCCGGTTTGTGTTATCACCATTCCCACCCCCACCCCGATTTGGATGGAGACAACACAGACCTCTCTTTCTCCAGGATAAGCAGAACCACAGGGTAAACTCTGTGGCCAGGCGGGAGCAGCTTGACTTTGACCTCGGCCTCAAGGACGAACCAGGACGTGGAGA